TTACACTCATCGAGACCTTTCATTTGAGTACCCACATCAATTTTTCATATATTTTGTATATTTATATATTATATATATATGTATATATGAAAAATATATCCAAAGTGCATTTTAATATTTATCTTTGAGTATTAATATTAAAAAATGATAAATAAAATTGAATATTTAAATCTTTTTTCCTAAGAATAATCACAAGAAAAATTTATTAAAATTTTTAAAGAAACTTTTTCATTTATTAGAAAGAATTTTGATTTTTTTTTAATCATTAAAAAATCAAAATTTCGAATTTTAACATTTTTTTAGATATAAATTGATATTTTTAAAGATATAAGCTCACCTCGACATTACACTCATCGAGACCTTTAATTTGAGTACCCACATCAATTTTTCATATATTTTGTATATTTATATATTATATATATATGTATATATGAAAAATATATAAAAAATGCATGTGGGTACTCAAACGAAAGTTCTTGATGAGTGTAACATCGGGATGAGCTTATATTTTTAAAATATATGTTATATATATATATATGAAAAATATATCGAAAATGCATGTGGGTACTCAAATGAAAGCTCTTCATGAATGTAACATCAGGATGAGCTTATATTTTTAAAAACGTCAATAATTAAGAAAGTACAGTGCAATTTCACAAAAGTCATTATTTAATAAATTTTATTTATTTATACTTTACAAGTCACAGCAGTCACGAGGTGACTGCTGACATTATTATTATCATAAAAAATTCCCCTTTGATGATACTATATCAATAAAGTATAAAATAAATTTTTTTAATATCTTAATTTTGATTTTTTTTCTCCGCGGTTTTTCGCGGATTAATTTTTTCAAAATAATTCCATCATGTGGGTATTCAATCAAACGGAAATTTCATGCTTTACAAGCATATGATATTTAAATTTGAAAAAAAAATTTTTTTTTTTTTCTATTTAATTATAATCATAATAATGCATCCATTGTATAAGTACAAACATACATATATGATCGAATACGTAGAGCAGAGTGTCAGTCGCGTGGTTTCAAGGACAAGGCAAGGTTGACACGCGCCGCGACTTGGTTGCAATAATAGTGGGGGGTCTATCTCACTCTAAGCGCAGCAGTGGAGTGCCACGCCGTAAGGTCCCTGTCGTATGGCTTAACACGTGCCTACTCGTGTCACGGACTCCGGTCACGGTGCGTCCGGTTTCCCAAGCATAAGTATCAAGAATACACTCACATTAGACAATCGCGCAATACACATACAAAAAGCTAGATCCTAGATCTTGAGAGCTTAAACTCAGAATGTCGCAATTATTAAGTACGCTTGCGTCAATTCCTCTTCGCCTTTGTCTCTCTCTTTTATTGTATTATTAGTTTGTCTGCGCTGTACTTATAGCTGGCTTTATCTGTCAACAGACGCGGGATTTGCATTATCATACTTGTTATTAAGATACCGGCGATAAATGATAAGCGTATTTGCTGGTGATTAGACCAGCCTAACAAGCCAAATGTTTTATTAGAAACACTTGGTAATTATGGCCCAAGATTAATACAAGGAGCGATGAACTCTTCGGTATCTCATACCTGATAAATTCTCGAGGTTTTTCTGAGAGATAACGCTTTTTAATCGAATTTGTGGATGATAAATAGTAGAATTGTGGGTTTTTTAGAATTTTTCAGAGGAAAAATTCTTTTAAAATTGATTTTTGAACTTTGAAAGGTTCAAAAATATTTTTTAAACTCTAATTTGGTGAATATTTGACGTCACATTTCGGAGAAATGTGTATAGAATTGGTTTTTGAATTTTGGAAGGTTCAAAAATATTTTTTAAACTCTAATTTGATGATTTTTTGAGGTCAAATGCCTCTAAAATCGATTTTTTTAACTTTAGAAGGTTCAAAAATATTTTTTCAATTTTATTTTGATGATTTTTTGAGGTCGAATGCATCTAAAATTGGTTTTTGAACCTTGAAAGGTTCAAAAATATTCTTTAAATTCTAAAATGATGATTTTTTTGGTCAAATTTTGGGGAAATGCCTTTAAAATTAGTTTTGGAACCCTAAAAGATTCAAAAATATTTTTTAGAATTCAATTTGATGATATTTTGAGGTCAAATTTCGAGGAAATGGCTCTAAAATTGATTTTTGAACTTTAGAAAGTTTAAATATATTTTTTAAACTCTAATTTAATGATTTTTTGAGGTCAAATGCCTCTAAAATTGGTTTTTGAACTTTAGAAAATTCAAAAACATTTTTTTAATTTTAATTTGATGATTTTTGAGGTCGAGTGCATCTAAAATTGGTTTTTGAACCATGGAAGATTCAAAAATATTTTTTAAACTCTAATTTGATGATTTTTTTTGGTTACATTTCGGAAAAATGTCTCTAGAATTAATTTTTGAACTTTGGAAAGTTCTAAAACATTTTTTAAACTCTAATTTGATGATTTTTTAAGGTCAATTGCCTCCAAAATTGGTTCTTGAATTTTGGAAGGTTCAAAAATATTTTTTAGTTTCTAATTTGATGATTTTTTAAGGTCAAATTTCGGAAAAACGCCTCTAAAATGTATTTTTGAATTTTGAACCGTTTAAAAATATTTTTAAGACTGTAATTTGATGATTTTTTGAGGTCAAATTTTGGGACAGTGCCTCTAAAATGTATTTTTGAACTTTAAGAGGTTCAAAAATATTTTTAAGAGTAATTTGATGATTTTTTGAGGTCAAATTTTGGAGAAATGCCTCTAAAATTGATTTTTGAACTTCGGAAAGTTCAAAAATATTTTTTAAACTCTAAATTGATGATTTTTTGAGATCAAATTTCGGGGAAATGCCTCTTAAATTGATTTTTGAATTTTGAACAGATAAAAAATATTTTTTTAAGTAATTTGATGATTTTTTTGATGTCAAATTTTAGGGAAATGCCTCTAAAATTGATTTTTGAACTTTGGAACGTTTAAAAATATTCTTTAAATTCTAATTGGATGATTTTCTTGGTTACATTTTGGAAAAATGTCTCTAGGAATTGATTTTTGAATGTGAGAAAGTTCAAAAATATTTTGTAAACTCTAGTTTGATGATTTTTTGAGGTCACATTTCAGAAAAGTGCCTCTAAAATTGATTTTTAAACTTTAGAAAGTTCAAAAATATTATTTAGACTCTAATTTGATGATTTTTTGAGGTCACGTTTGAAAAAAATTTAAAATTTTTGGACTACAAATTTTCCAAAGCCATCAATTGTATAAATTTGAACAATTTTAACCATTTTTTTATAGTTTGAGGGGAAACTTTCGGTAAAAAACGATCAAATTTTCAAATTTATATTTTTTACAACTATTTCATCAATTTTTGGTATTTTTAATTGATATATACTATTAAAAAATCATCAAACCTCTAAATTTATGATTTTCATAATTGCTGAGCCAAATTTTAGTCAAAATTTGGTATAAAAAAAAATCATTAAATCTCCAAAGTGATATTTTTTATAGCAATTTTCCAAACTTTTGATATTTTCAATTGATATTTAGTGTCAAAAAATCCCAAAAATTCCAAAATATTAATTTTTGACTTTTAATTAGTCCATTTTTTTATTTTTAAATGATATTTAGGGTCAAAAAAATTAATAAGCCTCCAAATTTATAATTTTGACACCTTTTAGATCCAAAAAATTTTAATTAATCCTAAAAGTCACCGTAAAACCCAAAAACGCATTACTTTTAATCAATTCTTATTTTTTTGGGGTCCAAAAATAAAATTTCAAAAAATTCTAAATCCAAAATTTAAAATGTTTAAACCATTTTATCAGTTTATAATTTTAAAACAGTTATATTGATAAACAGGGCTTGGCCTTGGAGTGTTTATCTCCCCTAATGCATACTGACATTAAAACAAAACGATAAAAGACCAAGATCCCTGTAGTAAAGAAAGTAAAGTCCCTGTTGCAAAGTTGGTAGTTGGCAAACTTGAAAAAGTTGAAAAACTCGTTTAGCGACAAGGCAACTATTGATAACGAGTTTGCAACTGATACCGCAATTTATGTATTAACCGTTCAGCGACGTCATAACCCGCTAGATAACGCATTCATTCATAAGCTTTTTAATTCAGCTTACGACATTGACGAGAATCCGAATTTGAATAAATAAATATTCCGAGTGTGGCTTCTGAACAAAGAGTTTGGCTAATTAAATTCCATTACACTCGACACTGAGCGCCGATCGACCGACAACCAATATAATACAATGACGACCGTAAGTTTATTATGAAACAACGCGTATTAGTTATTATTATTCAGTGGCTGTGACGTCTTATCTGATGGTCTTATTTTATAAGTCGGATAGGAGCCCATTTTCGAATCACGACACGTGTCAGCCATCAACCAGGCTCATACTCTTAAGTTAATATATAAGTCTTACCCAGTATACTAGCTTCTGTTGTTAGAATATCTTAGTGTTGTTGTTATTATTGTTAGTGTAAAGGCTGTGGATTATGCAACGCCCTCTCACGGTCTCGTTTGACCTCAGACCCGAGATATTTAAATTCATCGCCTGAGTTGAGAGGTTATTCTACGGTTATCCTTGTAAGACCTATTTCGAAATCATCACAAATATTGATAGTGAGAAAAGAGTTTGTTTGATTTAAATTCGGAGATTTATTTAAAATAAATTAAAAATAAACAGAAAAAAAGGTTCACTTGACCCAAGAAAATATCTTTCTTCCTTGTGAAATATACACGGAGAAAAAAATATGGAAATCATTCCTATAATTTTAATGAAATGTTTTCCTATACCATTTTAGGAGCGATTATTTAAATTAGGGGAATTGTACCCATAATATGTATATAGGAATAGTTTCTATAATATTATAAGAACCATTCCTATAATATTATAGGAACCATGCCTATAATATTATAAGAACCATTCTTAAAGAACAAAACGCGAATTTAGGTCTGTGGACGGTCGTTCAAATTCAAAGCAGTGTTTGTGGTACTGGGAGGCGTCTTTTGCCTCCAATAATATGTCCTGAAAATTTGGAAAGATTTTATTAATTAGGAAAAAAGTTTTCTTTGTTACGAAATTCAAGGTCATTGATTTTTACGCGAAAATTCGCTTTTTGAGGCTTGGAAATGACTAATCCAGATCCATAATCTGGACCATAATTTTTGGGAAATGTTACTATAATTATGGGAATGGTTCCAATAATTATAGGAACGATACTTATAATTATAACTGTAATATCGGCATGATTCCCATAATATATAGGAATGGTTCCTATAATATATAGGAATAGTTTCTATAATATTATAGGAACCATTTCTATAATATTATGGGAACCATTCCCATAATATTATAGTGATGATGCCTAATAATATTGAGATATTTATCATTACAACTCAAGTTATTTGTGACTTCGATGACCACTTTAAAGCATTTGAAATTATTAGTAATTTCGATAATTTTACTTGCTTCCCAATAACATCATTTGAAATATGTAAAATAAGTAATATTGTTCATATAAATAATAAAAGTTACATACCCAAAAGGTGGATTTAATAAATATTCAACGTATGTATTGTAAATAAATAATTTGTTTTAAAAATAAAATAAAATTGTAAAAATAAACAATGAATTTCCATATTTAGTTTGCTCCTCTAATTGTATAGTGAGAAAATATCCCTTTTATTAGAGAAACTTTACAATTGCTACAATATTTTTCAATATTATCTAACACAATAATAACTGAGTTGGAATAAACAATTTATGATTAAGTACACACGTGAATAAAAATTATGAAAAAGAAATTTTTTCACTCTAGTGAAAGATCAATTTTTATTTACAAAAAAAAATTTATTAGCAAAAAAATATATAATAATTACTTTATATTTTTGATATGATTGCTTCATTATTATGAACATAACCATTTTTCTATTATTATGTGCGTCATTCCTGTAATATTATAGGAACCATTCCTATAATATTATAGAAACCATTCCTTTAATAGTATAGGAACCATTCCTATAATATTATAGGAACCATTCTCATAATATATTGAAGCTATTCCAATAAACTATGGGTATGGTTCCCATAATGAATATAGGATTGATGCCTACAATGATCATTTTATTATAGGAACCATTCCCATAATTTTTGGAAAGGTTCCTATAAATTTCTCTCCGTGTAATATTCAATGTAGGTCAATAATATTGATTCTATAAGCAAAAAAAAATATTTTCCCGGGTAGGCTTGAGCTGACAGAATTCTCCAGGGAGATTTCCGCTAGGCATACCGATTCGTTCGCACGCAATGTGCTTGACCATAAGTACGCAGTAGTAGGATGACATACGTGGTATTTTCCTGCAATAATACGTATTCTTGCCAACAACAAATGCATGTCATCAGGTACTCGATGAGTCAGGCATAAGTGACAAGTCCAGATGAACATACATCATGTTAGCTGTTAAATTTTTCTTAAAAGGTATCTTTTTGTATTTTTTGATTGTGAGTGTGATCAAGTGCAACGACAACATTGATTCCTCATGACAAACGTCTTTAGAAGCCCACATTCATACGGTAATATATTTTAAGTAATTTATCAAAAACAGTGACTTGATATTGATTTTATCAACAGAGGAAGTTGCTGGGGATGTGCTTTCCTGATGAGTTGAACCCGATTGCGGTTAGTATCGATCTGATCGACGTCGTCCACGAAATTCCGAGAAATGAAACCATCGAGTCATCAGTTGTTGTCATCGACGGTAATTTCTCATCGAAAGCAATCCAAAAGTATTACCCGCGGCATCCATCGTTTGTTTTGTCGGGAAATTCCATAGATACACTCAAGGCGATTCTACTTGAAGTAAAATCTGCGAAGATTTGGAACGTGAAATCACTGTTTTTGATCATCGGGACGCAGTGCCAGGATTCAGCTCAGTCATTGAAATTGCTTTGGGAAATTGAAGCTGTTGCATCGTTTTTCATTTGTCGAGATGATAAGAGTAATAGAACTATGATCTATACTTTTAATCCGTATTGTAACTACGCGCCGAGACCTTGGAGACGAGTGGAAATCGATAGAGAACCAGGGAATCAATGGACGTTATTTCGTCAACCCTTCAGAAATGGTATTGTATACAGAAAAAAATAATCTTAAATCTTCACTCTGAAATTCATGATAAAAAATATCAAAAGAAGACAATGATGTTTTCTGAATTATTTTAATAGATCCAACAATCTGTCAAAGTATCAAGTATGACAAATCCAAACATTTGGACGGCTTTCCAATTAGAAGTACAATTTCATTTGATTACGACGAAGTTATTATCGGCGGAATTCCACAGATAATATCTAATGGGTTATTACCAGTGAACGCCGCTTTATTTCAAAGTTTGGAGTCAATATCAAATAGCACCCCGGTGGCATATATTACTAATAATAATGATAAGAATTTATTTGATAATGATAAATATGATCTCTTAATACCATTGTATCCTCTTAAAGAGCTCGATGTAAATAATTATGATTTTTTGAGCTTTTATAATGAGGAAGGGTACGTAATTGTCACAAACAAGCAAAGCACTGTGTTAGTAATTAATCAAATTGTTGAAAATTATTTTAATGTTTGGACAGCTTCTATTTCTTGCATTATTTTAATATTGATTTTGATCATCATTTATATAAACAACAACCAAAATTTACGCGAAGCTCTGTTAGATATGTTGGCGATGTTCTTAGATATGGATTTAATAGTGCCGCTGAATAGAATATCTATGAAAATTGCCTTCTTTTCCGCAACGTTGTTCTTTTTGATGTTTAACCCCGCGTTGCAAAGTCAAATGACGTCTTATCTGACAAAGCCGGCTCGTCAGCAGATCCATACATTAGAAGATTTATATCAAAATAAATTTCACGTAATATTTAGTAGTAAGATTCATGAAGAATTGTTAATAATGGGAATGTGGTCAAAAGAATCTGATCAAAAATTTTTACATGGTCAACAATGGTTCGATTTTTTCGTATGTAAAGATTTCTTGGAAAAACCTTCAACTGCTTGTATCATAGGTACATTTCAGCTTCCTAATGAATTACCTGATGAATTTCACATATCAAAATACATGTACTTTAGCGAATTTGACGGTGTTGTAAGTAGAAGTAACTGGCCACTCAAAGATAAACTCAATAAAGCGGCAATGAATTTTTTCGAAGCCGGGAATGCAGACTTTTTTAAAAGACAGTCTTTTTTTAAAAAAATGGTACGGTTCAAGAAGCTAATCGATAGGATTAAAGCAAAAGAAGAATACGACCAGTTAGATTTCGGGTATTTCGATTTTGACTACATTTTGATCCCCCTGTGTTTATTCTGGACAATTTTAGTGTTGATTATTGAAATAATGCACAAAAGATTCATAGATTGGAACGAAAAACGATTACGGGAATTGAGGTTCAAAAAGTTGCAGGCTCGCGAGGTGATTGCGTGCGCCATTAAACAAATGGCTGGGGTACATCAAAATATGCAAATTGTTTAGTTATCGCGTGAGTTATGTCGAAGGAAAATTATCGATTGAACTTTAAATTTGTCCTTGAAATTATTGACACATTAATATTGCGGTGAATTTTTAAATCAGTCACTTTTTCCTAAAGATTTGCATTAAGTTATTATTGTTGTTTGATGTTAGTGTTTAAGATAGAGATTGCTCAATATTCAAACCTTCCCTAGGAGGGTTAGTTTGAAAGAAGATTTTTCAGCACGATCTGGGTAAAGAATTGGACATTTGTTTATTAAGACAGTTTACCAAGATTCAGTTTCAAAACTAGCTTAAAATTGGACAATATTTTCCGGCAAAGCGTTGAATAATACTTGGTCTAGTTCAATTGTCGATTCTGCATCGAGAATTTTTCCAGATTTTTGGAGATATTTTCTCGAGACCAGTTCCAATTAGTTATTTAAGCTTTAGCTTGAATTTGTGACCAATTTAATAAATAATTTTTCCCATTAACTTTTATAAATTTCGAGATACTTGAGGCTTTGAAAAGATATCATAATATACATGTTTGCATAATTAAGAAGCATATTTCTAACCTAACGTACAGACGCCAGAAAAAAAACTAGATTATGTTTAATATCGCATTAGAATTTTAAAAGTTTTTGATAGATTGTTAAATGTGTTTTCACAATTTTTTTTCCTCTGATAGTTGAAAAAAGTGATTTGTAAATTTTTTTAAGATTTGGTAAAAAATGTTATGCACTCGATCAGAAGTGGAATTATATGCAAGTTTTAACATTCTATGATAAAGATATTTGACCAAACACGGACGAAAATTGCTCATTATGGATTTTTTTCTAAATCCTGTCAATGCCTAGAACAGTCTAGTTATTAACATTGCTAACCACACACAGATAAACTTTGTATGTATAAATCAAACAACTGCATTGTGTGAACCAATCAACGGATGGCCACGTATCCATTACCCTACAACTTTGTGGGGGAAATGCGGCGTTTGTCGACATTTTCTGTTGTCTCAGTAACAAAAAAATACTGAAAGAGGTAAGAGAGGATTCCTTGCACATTATTAACGTTCTACAAAATATCAAAACAATTTTAGCAGTAAAATCCCTTTTTTTTTTTTATTGAAATTAGCCAATAGTGGTTTTGAATACAATAAGTATGAGATTTTTGCGAAAGATGCGATTGAAAAGTATTGTTTTGCCTTTTTTGATGGTGAGCATGATCAAGTGCAACGACAACATTGATTCCTCATGACGAACGTCTTTAGAAGCCCACATTCATACGGTAATATATTTTAAGTAATTTATCAAAAACAGTGACTTGATATTGATTTTTATCAACAGAGAAAGTTGCTGGGGATGTGCTTTCCTGATGAGTTGAACCCGGTTGCGGTTACTATCGATCTGATCGACGTCTTCTACACAATTCCGAGAAATGAAACCATCGAGTCATCAGTTGTTGTCATCGACGGTAATTTCTCATCGAAAGCAATCCAAAGGTACTACCCGCGGCATCCATCGTTTGTTTTGTCGGGAAATTCCATAGATACACTCAAGGCGATTCTACTTGAAGTAAAATCTGCGAAGATTTGGAACGTGAAATCACTGTTTTTGAACATCGGGACGCAGTGCCAGGATTCAGCTCGGTCATTGAAATTGCTTTGGAAAATTGAAGCTGTTGCATCGTTTTTCATTTGTCAAGATGATAAGAGTAATAGAACTATGATCTATACTTTTAATCCGTATTGTAACTACGCGCCGAGACCTTGGAGACGAGTGGAAATCGATAGAGAACCAGGGAATCAATGGACGTTATTTCGTCAACCCTTCAGAAATGGTATTGTATACAGAAAAAAATAATCTTAAATCTTCACTCTGAAATTCATGATAAAAAATATCAAAAGAAGACAATGATGTTTTCTGAATTATTTTAATAGATCCAACAATCTGTCAGAGTATCAAGTATGACAAATCCAAACATTTGGACGGCTTTCCAATTAGAAGTACAATTTCATTTGGTTACGACAAAGTTATTATCGGCGGAATTCCACAGACAATATCTAATGAGTTATTACCAGTGAACGCCGCTTTATTTCAAAGTTTCGAGTCAATATCAAATAGCACCCCGGTGGCATATATTACTAATAATCATGATGAGAATTTATTTGATAATGATAAATATGATCTCTTAATACCATTGTATCCTCTTAAAGAGCTCGATGTAAATAATTATGATTTTTTGAGCTTTTATAATGAGGAAGGGTACGTAATTGTCACAAACAAGCAAAGCACTGTGTTAGTAATTAATCAAATTGTTGAAAATTATTTTAATGTTTGGACAGCTTCTATTTCTTGCATTATTTTAATATTGATTTTGATCATCATTTATATGAACAACAACCAAAATTTACGCGAAGCTCTGTTAGATATGTTGGCGATGTTCTTAGATAGGGATTTAATAGTGCCGCTGAATAGAATATCTATGAAAATTGCCTTCTTTTCCGCAACGTTGTTCTTTTTGATGTTTAACCCCGCGTTGCAAAGTCAAATGACGTCTTATCTGACAAAGCCGGCTCGTCAGCAGATCCATACATTAGAAGATTTATATCAAAATAAATTTCACGTAATATTTAGTAGTGAGATTCATGAAGAATTGTTAATAATGGGAATGTGGTCAAAAGAATCTGATCAAAAATTTTTACATGGTCAACAATGGTTCGATTTTTTCGTATGTAAAGATTTCTTGGAAAAACCTTCAACTGCTTGTATCATAGGTACATTTCAGCTTCCTAATGAATTACCTGATGAATTTCACATATCAAAATACATGTACTTTAGCGAATTTGACGGTGTTGTAAGTAGAAGTAACTGGCCACTCAAAGATAAACTCAATAAAGCGGCAATGAATTTTTTCGAAGCCGGGAATGCAGACTTTTTTAAAAGACAGTCTTTTTTTAAAAAAATGGTACGGTTCAAGAAGCTAATCGATAGGATTAAAGCAAAAGAAGAATACGACCAGTTAGATTTCGGGTATTTCGATTTTGACTACATTTTGATCCCCCTGTGTTTATTCTGGACAATTTTAGTGTTGATTATTGAAATAATGCACAAAAGATTCATAGATTGGAACGAAAAACGATTACGGGAATTGAGGTTCAAAAAGTTGCAGGCTCGCGAGGTGATTGCGTGCGCCATTAAACAAATGGCTGGGGTACATCAAAATATGCAAATTGTTTAGTTATCGCGTGAGTTATGTCGAAGGAAAATTATCGATTGAACTTTAAATTTGTCCTTGAAATTATTGACACATTAATATTGCGGTGAGTTTTTAAATCAGTCACTTTTTCCTAAAGATTTGCATTAAGTTATTATTGTTGTTTGATGTTAGTATTTAAGATAGAGATTGCTCAATATTCAAACCTTCCCTAGGAGGGTTAATTTGAAAGAAGATTTTTCAGCACGATCTTGCAAAGAATCGGACATTTCTTTATTAAGACAGTTTACCAAGATTCAGTTTCCAAACTAGCTTAAAATTGGACAATATTTTCCGGCAAAGCGTTGAACAATACTTAGTCTAGTTCAATTTTCTATTCTGCATCGAGAATTTTTCCAGATTTTTTGATATATTTTTTTGATATATTTTCTCGAGGCTAGTCCCAAATAGTTACTTAAGGTTTGGCTTGATTTTGTGACAAATTTAATACATAATTTTTTCAATTAACTTTTATAAATTTTAAGATACTTGACGCCCTGAAAAAAAATCATGAAATAGAAAGTTTACTAATAAAATTTGTGAAATCTGCCATAAGTAGTTTTGAGATTTAAATTAAATTATTTTTTCTTCATCTACTTATTATTCTCAGCATACTTAAGATTTTTTCTGTCAATTTAATAACTTTTGATTGTAACGTAAAAAATTATTCATTATTCAAATAAATCCATTTTTTGTGTAAGTTATTGATAATAAATTCTGATTTAAAAAATTTGAAAACTTTTTTGTCCTCATTTGCAGTTTTTCGCGATTTTCTGCAGTTTGATATTTTTAGTATCTATATTATTAAAGAAGATTCCTATCTATATAATACAAAGGAGTTTGCAGGGGCGCTATCAATAAGAAATTACCGTTTTTGATCTATAACACCTATAGAACCCAAAATTTAGCAGGAATTTTCTGGAAGAGATGTAGAAATAGTCTATAAACGAATTTTACGATAGCACACCTCACAGGGGTTCGCCGGGAAGTGTGTTAACAATTAAAATTTTCAATTTCCAAGCTATAGCTCCTATGGACTCCAAATTTAGTACAAGTCTTGTATATGTGACATAGAAATAATTTAAAAGCGATCTAAATGATCTAAAGATTCTACATATGGTAGGAATCTTTTAGTTCGCATATAGAGATCATCTTAAAATGCATTTCAAAAAATTCTACTTCCAGGTAAGTTATCAACTTAACTTTTGCTCTAAAATAAAAAAAAAACTGAAAAGTTGGAATCGCAGTCTAAAAAACATTTATTTTGATTTGTAAGTTTTTATTAACTTTGAAGGAGATACCTTACAGTTTTTGGAGCAATATAAAAAATTTTTTGTGACAGCCAAAAAATTAAATTTATTTGTCACTCTTAATTTCCAATGGAGGTCAATAATATTGATTTTATAAGCAAAACAAAATATTTTCCCGGGTAAGCTTGAGCTGACGGAATTCCCCAGGGAGATTTGTGCGAGGCCTGCCGATTCATTCGCACGCAATGTGCTTGACCATAAGTACGCAGTAGTAGGATGACATACGTGGTATTATCCTGCAATAACACGTATTCTTGCCAACAACAAATGTATGTCATCAGGTACTCGATGAGTCAGTCATAAGTGACAAGTCCAGGTGAACAGACATCATGTTAGCTGTTAAATTTTTCTTAAAAAGTATCCTTTTGTATTTTTTGATTGTGAGTGTGATCAAGTGCAACGACAACATTGATTCCTCATGACAAACGTCTTTAAAAGCCCACATTCATACGGTAATATATTTTGAGTAATTTATCAAAAATAGTGCATTGATATTGATTTTTACCAACAGAGGAAGTTGCTGGGGATGTGCTTTCCTGATGAGTTGAACCCGGTTGCGGTTACTATCGATCTGATCGACGTCGTCCACGAAATTCCGAGAAAGGAAACCATCGAGTCATCAGTTGTTGTCATCGACGGTAATTTCTCATCGAAAGCAATCCAAAAGTATTACCCGCGGCATCCATCGTTTGTTTTGTCGGGAAATTCCATAGATACACTCAAGGCGATTCTACTTGAAGTAAAATCTGCGAAGATTTGGAACGTGAAATCACTGTTTTTGATCATCGGGACGCAGTGCCAGGATTCAGCTCAGTCATTGAAATTGCTTTGGGAAATTGAAGCTGTTGCATCGTTTTTCATTTGTCAAGATGATAAGAGTAATAGAACTATGATCTATACTTTTAATCCGTATTGTAACTACGCGCCGAGACCTTGGAGACGAGTGGAAATCGATAGAGAACCAGGGAATCAATGGACGTTATTTCGTCAACCCTTCAGTAATGGTATTGTATAAAGAGAAAATTATCTTTAATATTCACTGTGGAATTCATGATAAAAATTATCAAAATAAGCCAATGATGTTTTCTTAATTGTTTTAACAGATCCAATAATTTGTCAGAGTGTCAAGTTTGACAAATCCAGACATTTAGACGGCTTTCCAATTAGAAATACAGTTGCACTTGGACGAGACGAAGTTATTATCGGCAGAGTTCCACAAGCAATGCATAAACTGTTAAATCCAGTAGACGCCGCTTTATCTCAAAATTTGGCATCGATATCAAACAGCACCCCAGTCGTATATGTTACTAAAAATTTTGATGAGAATATCTTTTCCAACGGTAAATCTGATCTCTATCTGTCGCTGTTTACTTTTAAACAGGTCGAAGTAAATAATTATGATTTTTTGAGCTTTTATAATCAGGAAGGGTACGTAATTGTCACAAACAAGCAAAGCACTGTGTTAGTAATTAATCAAATTGTTAAAAATTATTTTAATGTTTGGACAGCTTCTATTTCTTGCATTATTTTAATATTGATTTTGATCATCATTTATATAAACAACAACCAAAATTTACGCGAAGCTCTGTTAGATATGTTGGCGATGTTCTTAGATAGGGATTTAATAGTGCCGCTGAATAGAATATCTATAAAAATTGCCTTCTTTTCCGCAACGTTGTTCTTTTTGATGTTTAACCCCGCGATTCAAAGTCAAGTGACGTCTCATCTGACAAAGCCGGCTCCTCAGCAGATCCATACATTAGAAGATTTATATAGTAATAAATTGCACGTAAAATATAATGTCGAAATTCATGAGGAATTGTTAATAATGGGATTGTGGTTAAACAAATCTGATCGAAAATATTTACACAGCAAACAATGGTTGTATTTTCGCGATTGTGAAGCTTTTTTGAAAAATCCTTCAACCGCTTGTATCATAAGTACATATTTGCTTCCTGACAAATTACCTGATGAATTTTACGTATCAAAATACCTGTACTTTAGCGAATATATCGGTCGTGTAAGTAGAAGGAACTGGCCACTCAAAGATAAACTTGATAAGGCTGCAATGAATTTTGTCGAAGCCGGGAATGTAGACTTTTTCAAAAAACAATCTTTATTTGACAAAATGGTACGGTTCAAGAAGCTAATCGATAGGATTAAAGCGGACGAAGAATATGACCAGTTAGACTTCGGGTATTTCGATTTTGACTACATTTTGGTCCCCCTGTCTCTTTTCTGGACGATTTTAGTGTTGATTATCGAAATAATGCACAAAAAATTTATAGATTGGAACGAAAAACGATTACGGGAATTGAGGTTCAAAAAGTTGCAGGCTCGCTGGATGATTTCGTGCGCCATTAAACAAATGGCTGGTGTACCTCAAAATATGCAAAATGTTTAGTTATCGCGTGAATTATGTCGGAGGAAAATTATCGATTTTACTTAAAAATTGTCCTTGGGATTATTGACACATTAATATTGCGACGAATTTTTAAATTAGTTACTTTTTTTTTTTTACCCCGCTTTTCCGATGGGGGTCCGGCCGAGACCGGAGGGGGACTCCAGGCTGATCGGTACATTAAGTTTGGCTGAATAAGTTTGGCGGTATTACATACTTTTTCAGCCTGGAGAGTAATGCGGCGATGGATCGACTTTGGGGAAACTGCACGCATTCGCCTGTGCCCCACCGGTAGCACAGGGCTTGGGGAAACCATCGAAAACCCAAACCTGTACAGCCCGGCGTGAGTTATGAGTACCGATGTTCACTGAAAATTAAATTTCAGCTCACACCGGGATTCGAACTCACGCCTCACCAGTCCCAAGCAAGCACTACACACAGTAAAAAATTTTGCATCAATGCGTCAAAAAATTTTGTGTTAAAAATTTTTATGTTAAATATTTAACACTTTTTTGTGTTAATTTAACACAAAAATTTTTAACACAAAATTTTTTGACGCAGTGACGCAAAATTTTTTACTGTGCAAGCGTTGTACCGCTTAGCCATGGGACTGGCTTAAATTAGTTACTTCTTTCTAAAGATTTGCATTTAGTGATTATTGTTGTTTGATGTTGGTGTTTAAGATAGAGATTGCTTTGTGTTCTGACGTGAAATTAACATATTGAATTCTATAAATTTTATCAATTTTACCAAAAAAAATTTTAATTAATTTTTTTTGGATAGAGCTTTAGTTTAAAGTTGTCGTAAATTAGTTCATTTTTTTCCAATTAAACTTGATCAATTTTGAGTATTATTATTTTTGGTATTTGTAAAGATTTATGTAAAATGACTTCTACTTTGTTTTATAAAAAAAAATGTATAAATATTAAAGAATAAAGATTTTTAAAATGTTTCTTTCTATTTCGCGGGTTGATTTCTAAAAATAAATCTAAGGGTGTGAGTTACTTTTTTTAAAATAAATTTTATGACCAATATGATACTGTAATTAATTATTATTTTTTTTTTTTTATAATTATATGTTGTAAGTTTTAGTTGTTATCAATTGAATAAATAAACAATAATAATAAAGAACGAATTGTTGACGATCAACAAGTAAGACATAGTAATTTTCCGTCTGATTTCCACACTTGGTATTTTTTAAAGTGATATCGCCGGGGTCGAGTGAATTCATCACAAAGGGTCGAGATAAGTAATTTCAAATAAAAATAAAATACGATAAATTATATATAATAATAATGGCTAGAATACTTGTTAATAATTTTATAGAAATAATTTTTATACTCCTACAGAGAATAAAAAATTTTTAAAAATTACAATAGAAATATAATTATCCAATAGCTTTATAAATATATATATATAAATTTATAAAAAATATTTTTTTAGGCTTTAAAATATTAATCAAAATTTATTAACAGTTAATTAATATTTATAAAATTATTAAATTAGCTTATTTATTAATTTATTTATAAGGAAGATATTTTTGGTTTAAATTAATTTTATGGGGTTTTTTATGGAAAAACTAGAGCAAACTCAGGGGAAAAAAAATTGAGTTCCTTTTAGAAGTAAAAATAGGCTGATGGGTCGTAAACCTTGGATAGAATGCATAATTTCGTGGCGACCCCGTATTGCTTGTACTTACATTGTTGGCAGCATTTGCGACAGTATCGCAGGTTAAATATGTGTCTTGGCAGACGTCCAATCACGTTGCGCCCAGGTGTCTCGCCGGCGTTCTTACAATAAATAAAATCCCTCTGTTATATGCAAGGGTGTGTGAATAATTCGAGTTTGCAAAATTTCGAACCGAAGATTTTAAAAATTTTTAGTCATCTAATTGGGAGAAAAAAATATTTTTTACACTGAAAAAAAAGTTTTTTTCCACCTAGAAAATTTTTCCCTCCTGTAAAGAAACTGGTATACCTAGGTGGAGAATACCAAAGTTTTTTTCCTACACTAATAAGTATTGTGATTTTTAAAAAACTCGGTTTCCGCCTCTGCAAAATACCAAAATAAAAATATGCCCGACTTAACCTCATTTGACACAAATGCATATGATATGTTTATCATACGGTGGATCTTTTTTATTATAATTAAAAAATTAATAATTATTAATTTATCAATAATAATTAAATTTAATAAAATTAAATAAATTGAATTATAATAATTAAATTTAAGAATGACACTGAAGTTGACAGACATTAAAAATTTTTTCAGAATTTTTTGGCAATTAAATTATGAAAAAAAAAATAAATTTAATTAAAAAATTCCACATGTGAAAATTAATAAAAATTACACGTGAAAATTTTTTAGTAGCATTCTTTTATGATAATTGATTTGTTATAAAAATTTTTAAAATTGACAGCTCTTCAGCATGATATTTAAGAAAATTAAATTAATTATAATAATTCAATTTAAGAAAATTAAATTAATTATAATTCAATTAAAAAAATTAAATTATTGAAAAATTGAATTTTTTATTAATTTCAAGGGCGAGATTTCTATTTTTATTTTATTGAATCGAATTTGTACAATGAATAACTCTTAAAAAGGCAATTTCCTTCAAAGATTTTTTTTAGAGATGGTAAATCCCATTTGAGCAACTTTTTTCCTACCCAACAATCCATCCAAATTTTAAGATCAATTGTAATACAGCTTGGTAATTGTTCAATAAATAATAAATTAGTATATAAAACTTTCCAATGATGTAAACAAACACGCCAGGACTGTGAAATTGGAGGGAAATCGAAGAATTGGCGGCGCCACCGCTGCGGTTGCTATGGTAACGCAGCGTAAAGTTTTAGCTCCAGAAAAAATTTAGGTATTCTCAGGCGAAAAATACCAGTTTTTTTATATTAAGAAAAACGTATTTTGGATATAAAAAAACTTGGATAAAAATACTTTGTATTCTGGGTGGAAAAAAACTTTTTTTTCAGTGTACCCATCAATATTATTTGTTACAGTTTAAAATTTTTTTTTTCTATTGAGAATAATTTCCAAACGAATTGTTATTAAATATAAAAAAATAAGGAATGCTTTATGCTTACTTAAATTTCCAGAAATTTTTGAGAATACTATCTTTCCGGGCCAATTCAGACCGGCAATAATGGAGCAAAAATGAGTCAAAGGCTTAGCGTAGCCATTAGCGTATGTAAATATATCGAGATTGGCCTCTCGAGACCTAAACTGGGCAGCCTTGACGATGAGATGAAAATCAATTACTTAAAAACCTCGGACGGAGCTCCTCTTCATTCAGCGTTCTCATGCATAACAATGAGCTATTTAGACCCGGTCTTCGTCGATCATACGACGGTGATTAGGACTTAATTATCCTTTTCTCATTTTGTAGTAAGTTATTCTCTATCCGAACAAAAACAGTTTCACTGTAAAAAAATCGCGCCAAGTCCACGTTCATAAGATTATTAAGAAAAAAAAATTGTTTTTTTCTTTACAAAAAGATATAAAATAAAAAAATTAAAAAATCCAAGTAACCGATATGATTGTTTATGATTTTCGGAAATTAAAAAAAATTTTTTTGTAAATTTAAAAATTAAAAAAACAATTTTTGAACGTATTTAGTGTGCGTTGTTGCGAAATATTTTACTTTTAATTAAATTCGTAAAATCTATTTACTAGGACTTTAAAAAAATTGAAATGCACAATATGACGCACACCAAGTATGTTCCAAAATTGTTTTTTTAATTTTTAAATTTACATCAAAATTTTTTTTAATTTCCGAAAATCATAAACAATTATATCGGTTACGAGGATTTTTTAATTTTTTTATTTTTTATCTTTTTGTAAAGAAAAAACTAATTTTTTTTTTCTTAATAGTCTTATGAATGTGGACTTGGCGCGATTTTTTTACAGTGAAACTTTTTTTGTTCGGATTTTAGTATTTTTTGTAATTTTAGTAAAAATTTACAATTGGTATCAATTTAAATCTCGCGTTGGCTGCATTTTTTTTATAGCAAACTATTCCCTTGAGGCTACAGTTTATGTAAAAATAATTCTAGCGCACCCTGGCGGGTGTAGATGCAAGTTGTGAAATATCTTTTTTTAACTGTAGTTTCCCATCTGATGAAGGATTACTATGCATTCTCGAATATTTTAGTCTGTGGCAGATCACTTTGCCCATCGAAAAAAAGTCAGGATCGAAATTTTTGCGTTGCTATAGTTTGTGCTGATTAAATTTATTAATTTCAAGTAGATTAATTGTTATAAGTGAATATAATTAATTAATAACAGTAAAATAAAGTATGAATTACTGTTATAATATACAATTTAGGAAAAAAAAGTACCGTAGAATTAAATAAAATTTTGCAACCTCAAAATACCGTTCTGCTTACAGTAAACACAGTCGGTAGTCTGGCGCTCCGTTTACAACGGATTTGAACGGAACTTGGCGCCAGATTCTACCGAATCTGTGGATAAATATATTTCGGGCAATTATCTCGGCTTCGGCAAGCTTTGGTTTATATTTTGCGGCGGAAAGGGTGTTCGAATCAAAAAGAAGAAATGTGATTTGGTCAGACCTTGAATGCTTGATACATTAATTTTTACTGAAGCATTGTTGAGATTAAAAATAATAATAATTTTTAAATATTTAAAATAGCAGGCTAATAAATTGTATCTTGTGAACTATTGACATTTTTAAAGAAATAAGCTCATCCCGATGTTACACTTATCGAGACCTTTCATTTGAGTACCCACATAAATTTTTCATATATTTATATATATTATATATATGTATATATGAAAAATATATCAAAAATGCATGTGGGTACTCAAATGAAAGCTCTTGATGAGTATAACATTGGGATGAGCTTATATCTTCAAAAACATCAATATTTGAGAAAGTACAGTGCAATTTAACAAAATTAAGGAACGACTTTGCATCTTGTGAATTATTGACATTTTTAAAGATATAAGCTCATTCCGATGTTACA